AAGCAGAGCACAAGGCTTTCGTTGATTTTTCCACTCCGGAGGCCATCCAAATGGCAATGACTGCCACTTCTCTACGCCTCAAGGATGTGGACCTTCGTGTCTCCTTGCCAGATGATCATAAGTGAGGGTTTTGCAGTTGATCGGATCATGAGATTCTACTTGTCTAATGTCGTGTTGTTCACTAGACCTTTATTAAAGAGTTGATTCTAGCTAAAGTAGGAGTTATGCCAATATTTCGAGGGTGCCGTTATTGTAACTTAAGTTGGTATAGAGAGATCTTGTTTGACTTGTGTCATCTAGAGTAGGGAAGGTAGTGTTAACCTACTTAAGACACATTTGTACGTGATAGTGGTTACCGAGGAGAATGAGCAGGAGGACGATCCTCTGGAATGTGGGGTAATTAGCCACGAGAATGAGGACCCTCAGAAAATTAAACAGAATTGAATTACTGAACACTCAGGCAAGCCCATTACCTGTACTGGCAAAAGACCAAGCTTAACAATTACTAACTTTAGCTTATTTCGGTCCCTACCGCCATTTCTCCTACTGAGCTTGCATTGGAAACTCAGTACTGGCAAAAATGGTAGTTTTTCTCTGTGCCACTCCATGAATCAGACTCACGGCGGACAATGTTCGCGATGTTGCGGACATTGAAATCAAAGAAAAGTATTAGTGACAAGAATAGGTGACCGAACACGCTATCATGGCCGCATTACTTGCGCGTGGCGTGTACCGTGTGAACAGGTAGTTGTAGCTGTCGGGCTGCTTGGAAGTGTAAGCCTTTTCTGACAAGGTGCTGCCTTAGTAACCACATACTGGCTGAAAGGTGCAGCCAATCGCTTGTCATGCTAACTCTGTGGCACTACCTGTCAATTAATATGGATGAATGTGGTGTATTTGTTGAGGGTCACAATGCATTATGTGCCATTTAAGGGGAGTGAGAAGTCAGTTGGAGGTGAGAGCACTCCCCACCACCTCAGGTGGCAAGGCTGCGGTTTTCCTTCCACCAACTTCTGATGTAGAGGTTTTTGATTCTGAGGGCCTGATTCAACTAAGCAAACTGACGGCTACACATGTGTTACAGGCCAACTGTCTTCTGTGTCAACCAATTAGCCCCATATTCGTAAATTTTACTCTTAAATGAAGTAACTCAAATGGTTAATGAGTTAAGGCGGACCTTGAACATCCCCTGAATGCGTCTAGGGTCGAGGATATGTTGACTTAGGAAGCCATGCAGAGGTCACTCCTTTAAACCACGTAGGTATATAGATAAACAAAGGAGGTAGGTCACAGTTAAGCTTGACGAATGATTAGTTCACCATGACCAAGTGACCTTTTTTGTTAGCCAATGTCTTATCTTTACCACATCTCCTACTTAGCAACAGTTGATAAGGCACTCGTAACATTTTCACCAGCACTCGTTTCTGCATAGGAAACTCAAGCTCTTCTGGTTTTATCACCAATAGTGATGGTGATCTGATCAGTGCTGAGTGCGCGCTCAGTGCCACTTTTGCCAGGTAATCCACATAACTCTGTTTGTACTAACCTGCGCTGCAGCTAGTGGAGTGTTGAAGTGGTGCACTTATCATTGAGAGCTATGTGTAGTGCCGCAACGATAAAATGCCTTTTTATTAATGCAGATGAAACGCATCAATTCAAGTCAATTATCTCTGCCACCGGTATTGGGCATGGACCGCCACCAGACTAGAAAGACAGGAGAGGTTACGCTGAATTGTGCAATCGTACTTCTGCAAGAAGAAGTCGACCCCTCCAATGCTAGACTGGATCCAGTAGGTCTTCATGAAATCACGCCTTATTGAAACAATGCAACATTAAATAAAGCCACCCTTAGAGCAACTTCGACAAATAAACAAGCAATCTATCATGCTTAATCTTTGGAATCTTGTAAGGTCGATGCTCGCAATTTTCTCAGTCTGTGCAAGTGAACCCTGTCATCTGTCTCCGAAACCCATCCTTCACCAAATTTCGTGCAATGACACCCGCTGATCAACGTTTTGCTTCCTGAAGAAGAGCCGATGTCATTTTGAAAACTAACAGTCATTACAGAGGAGACATTGCCCTTATTTAACCGCATAGTGTCTCGAGTCATTTTAGGTCTAGGAGATCCCCCCTGATGAGGACACCACTTGGCCAATTAAGTGTTAACCATGGGCAGAACGTTGCCGGGCCAAAGGAGAGACAAGCAGACAGGAACCGCCTAATACATTAGTGTTTTATCATTTTTGTGTGGAAGTAGAGAGCAAAATAGCCCACTCCTCTTCAAATCCTGGTGGCATTTTCCTCGTCGCTGTTAATGCTACGAATCCAAGTGAAAGAAGCTTGAGGCAGACCCATCCCCTCGACTTATCTGCCGGAGTTAGGAAACAGATGCAAATATTGAAAGGAATTTAGCATTTGGAGGTCATACCGAGATCATTTCGATGATTTACTTTCACGAACGTATGAAACATGGAGGGAAATATCAGGATGCAAGGCAAACGTGGAAAACTGCTAGCTTTGCCTTAGTTCAACTGCACTACCATCCGTAATCTGTGGTCCGAACTATGAATGAGGGGACGTGGACGAAGGCGTTGCATTAAATACATCACCTGGCCACTCCATCCCATTGATGAAGGAGCATTACACCCAACAAGCACCTAATTCCGACGTTCAAGCGACTTCAGTCACACCATTTTGGATGAAGTGGTGAGTCTTTCATCACTCCTATTCCAATGCGATATTTGACACGAAAGTTAGGTGCAAAGCAAAGCTTACACAAATTACTGAGGTGGTAAT